AAAAAAAAAAAAAAAAAAAAGGATAACAAATGCAATGTATTAACCATTGCTACCTTCCTATTATCTTGTTTTGAAAGTTTGCTTTATTTTTTTCTCTTTAAAATTTAAAAAGTAGCAGAACACAGTATTAGGATTATGAAATAAATTAGATGCCATAGCAATCAAAATATGAATATTGTGTTTTGAAATATAATCTAAACGTCATATTTCTCTAATTAGAACATTATAAAGATGGTAAAGATTCATGCTGGGCACGAGGGCACACAACTCAGGAGGATCACGAGTTTCAGGCCAGCCTGGTCTACGTAGCAAGTTCGAAGCCAGCCTGGGCAGCATAGGGAGACCTATCTCAAGCACAGCAGATATTGATCCACCCCAAATACTACTCATGGAACTTGACAAACTGATTGAAATTACATGTGAAAGAACAAAATATGAAGAATGTCTGTAACATTTCAATAGGGAGGTACAGGTCTTGCTGTACTAGCTATTAAGATTAAGGTAGAATAATTAAGACAATAGAAAAATATTAAGATTCCTTACCTCATTAAATAAACCAAGGGGCTGGGGATTTAGCTCAGCGGCACAGCTCCTGCCTGGCAAGTGCAAGGTCATGAGTTTGATTCCTGGTACCAGAAAAAAAAAAAACAGATAAATAAATAAATAAATAAACCAAAATCAAATCCAGGTAAAGTAAGACAAATGTAAACCACAAAAATAAATACAAATTTTAGAAACTAGCATAGAAAATATCTTACTATTTTGGAATAAAGAAGAATTTCTTAAGGAAGCCATAGAAAGCGCAATTTTTTTTAGATTGATAAACCTGAGTACATTATAGAATACAAACTTTCATGCTTCAGAAGACAGTATAAAGACATTAAAATGGCCATTCATGAACTGAGAGAAGATGTTTGCAACTTGTATCACTGAAGAGAGATAATTATTCATTCTATATAAAGGACTCTCGTGATCAATAAAGAAAACACAAGGAAGAAGTGATTAGAGAACCGTACAGTCCTTGTGCAGAGAAGAGAAATGGCCAATAAATACATGGAAAAAAATACTCAACCTTAATAATCAAGAGACATATTTTTTAAGACACTCGTTGAGATATGTTTACTCACTAGATTGACAGTATTTTAGAAATGCAGTAATAATGGCAAGGATGTTCAGAAACCGCAGGTGAACACGCGCATAGTAAGAGATGCAACACAGCCAGGCGTGCCTGGTGGGGTTGGACAGATGTGTGCCGTACCTCAGCAGCTCTGCTCCTAGGTCTACCTAGAACACTTCTGAAAGTGGGGTGCTCAGTCCGCATGGCATCAGCAACAGCTGGAAACTTGGTAGAAATGCAAACCCTCATCTCACATGCCAGACCCCAGCTGCACAACAACGGAGTCAAAACTGCAGTGGCAGGACCAACAATCCGTGTGTTAACAATCCATCCAAGCGGTTGTGATGCTGCTTAAGCTGCTAAAGAAATGAAGGCTACCTACCATACGTCGTTTAGGGACATAGATACTAAACTAAGGGGCTGCGTATTTAGCTCAGCGACACAGCGCCTGCCTGGCAAGCGCAAGGTCGTGAGTTCAATTCCTGGTACCAGAAAAAAAACAAAACAAAAAGAAACTAAACTAGAACAAGAAGCTAGACATCGAACCAGACCTGGCCAGATTTCAGCTTCACGCTCACCTTGGGAGGAGAGTAACAGGGACTTGGGGTTATGTGCCTGAGGAACGACCCGCAGGGGCTTCCAAGACATTTACTGGTGAGCTAGATGACAGGCATCCAGCTCAGGTTAGTTTTAAAGTATACAAGTTATAAAACACAAGAGGGAATATAGGCCAGCGGTTAAGAGCATGGAATCTGTTGTCGAATTTCCTGCGTTCAGGATTTGACTGTTTTTCTTCCAGCCGTGGTGACCTTGGGAAAATTTCTTAATTCCTCTGTGCCAGTGTTTTCTCCTGTGTGAAAAAGAGAATCCCCAGTACTAACCCTGCACGTAGCCAGAACTGAAGGGATCTCGTATTCCATATACACAGAGCAGCGCTAATGGAAGTGTTTATATTATTCTTGGTCTCATGTATTCCACAAAAACAATAACAGCAGATCTTTCGGGGGAAAATGTAAAGCTGAACTGCTTCTCCCCTCCTAGAACTACTCGGTATAATTTTGCTCAGGTGCAGGGGAATTCATGATGCTGTAATTAAAGATTCTTTTATTTGAATGGGGATGGTTTTTTCCTCCTTTCAAATCTTTAGCTTTTATCGGTGGTATGTATACGACTTCTTAGCAACCATTTCATGTTGATTTTCTCTACTGCGATTATTTTTATAAAAGTGTTGCAAAGCCAGCTGCCAGTTATGAGTTAAAAAATACTCAACACTTTGTAAGAATTTCTCCAAGCTCGCCTGGTTTTGCCTACCAGCCTGTCTCTCTCCATGGCAACAAATCTGCCCACCAAGGAGTGGTAACCTTTGGCCAGTGTACGCATGCCAGGCCAGAGCCAGCCGCTGGGGTCTGAGAGCACGGGTGCCTTCACAACCAAGGTTTCCAGGGATCTCCGTGAAACAAAGAGAGTAGGAATGAAAAAATATTTTTCAGTTTGCTTTTCCAGGAAGGTGGCAGCCTACAGTCTGGGAGTCCTGTATCAGATGGATGGATAGGTGGATGAATGGATGGATGGATGGATGGATGGATAGATGGATGGGTGGATAGATGGATGAATAGATGGATGGATGGATGGATGGATGGATGGATGGATGGATGAAAAGTTCAAGAGTAGTTTATTAATAAGAGATAGACTATCAGCTAAAGATCAGTTCATTCTAACTGATTTTTGAGCTCTCAAAACAGAACACATGGATCACATTTTTCTTCTTTGACAAATTATTCCCATTCTGATTCGTTCATTTGGGAAGTATTGTTAAGGACCTTTTGGGAGCCAAAGCTTGCTGGATACTCAAGAAGAATCTGAAGTAAACAGGCCTCATGTCTGCTCACTTCGAGTTTGTAGTCTGAAAGGGGTTACAGAAGCTGCAGGAAGTTATCATCTGAGTAGTTTTGAAAAGAGGAGCATGGCCTAGAGCCAGGAGTCTCTAAACTTACACCTGCATGGGGTTGCATGAGACCAGAGAGGGAAGTGGGCGGGGCCAGACTGCGTCAGCCCTAATGAACCAGCAAGATTCATGAATATGAAAGTTCCTTATATAAAAGAAAGCTGTGGTAATGATATGGAATTTGTGTGAGTCATTCACGATGAACCATAAGGAAATGATCTGCACAATCTGATGGTGACAAACAATATAGGGATTGTTTTGCCACCTTGTGTGCGCCTTCATAATTTAAGCCATGTTAGAAAATCAGAAACTTAATTTGTTTCCGCCTCAGGACTTGTGTAAAACGGTGTTTTCACTTGTGTGTGGCGTGTTGGCAGGCATCCGTGTGTGCTTTGGCCGGAGGGCACCATCCTCACACCATCCTTCATGTGTATTTTGGGAAGCCCGTGACACGGAGAGCTCCTCCCAGCAGCCAGGTGCCTTCCCAGCTGACAGTCATTCTGACATTGTCACAGAAGTGAAAGTCACCCTAGCGGGTTTTAGCCCAAGCTGTAACGTGTAGATGAAAGCCCCCTGTAATTCTAGAGTTCCTGTCAGCCCCTCCTTGGCTAGCAGGTTCATTTCTCTGCAAATGTAGACCAAGGCTACAGGTCTATCCGTGGAATCACGGGCTGAAATGTGGGGGACAAGCCTGAGGAGTTGATCGAGGAGGTCAGCCTGTTGTTTAATACAAAATGAGGAAGGAAAGATACACTCCCCAGGGTGGGAAGTCTGGGAGAGGAAAGAGAACAAAGCAGGGAAAAGAGCAACAAAACACTTCTTCATTTGAGGTTCCCTGAAGGTCTGTTTTACTTTGATTGTTTGTTTGTTTTTTCCGGTACCGGGAATCGAACTCACAACGTTGCACTTGCCAGGCAGGCGCTGTGCCGCTGAGCTAAATCCCCAGCCCCCTGTTTTACTTTGAGTTATACGAGGTTTTCCCAGTGTCTGGGAAGAAAGCAGCCAGAAAGGGCAGGGCACAGACTAGTCGTGACAGGCAGGAGTTGTGGGTTTCTTGAGTACAGGGCGTTTGTTTATGCTGTGTGTAGGTTTTCTCCTTTTTCCTTTCCTTTTCTTGTGCATCCTAGTGACAGCCGTTCTCAACAAAATGCCAGCATTGCCTTCCCTTGGTGACATCCTTCCCAAGGAGAAATTTAAAATAGCATTCCCCAGCCCACCCCCAGCCCTTGAGAGGGAAGCATGATTAGCATCACGAGCTGTCTGCCGGGTTCTGAGGAGCACACCCCCTCCCAGGCTGGGAGGGGGCACAGCGGGCTCCCCCTTGACCCCCTTGTGACCCCCTTGGCCCCAGCGCATCTTATGAAGTTCTTTTGCTCTTTTTGAACTCCCTCAACAAAGGAGCCAGAAAATTAAAGCAGG